TGGTGCAGAACTTTGTTTAGGTTCATGATTTCAATGGCAATTTTAGTTGAACTCTGAGACCAGCCTGGTTTCTTGGATGCCACTCAAAAAATCTCAAAGTGGACTGAAGATCACTGACTCTGCTCCTTTTTCCGTTTCTCAGAAGTGTCATAACAATATTGTCTTAAAGCAACTCAACAGGGGAGGTAATTAGATTACAAATTCACCACAGATATGCCTTGACATTGTCACAAATGTTTGAGGAAATGCAGCTTCTACACTATTCCAAATAATCCTGGTAATTTCTACCATGTTTGAGAGTGTTCTTTAGTAGTTAGTAATCAATTGCAAATTAATGCTAAAACCAGATGTGCTTGTTTTAGGGTCCAACACTGAGAGAGAGCTGTGCAATGTGGCTGCTCAAAAGGTATAAGGTGTTTTTTAAAAGTACAAGGAGTTCCACCCTGTGAAACACTTAAAAGGGCTGGTAAGACGACAAAAGTGGCCGCGACACTGGCAAGAATGCCAGTGGGAGAGGCCAGACGGAAAACCAGGTTCACCACCAAAACCACCCGAATGAATCTCCGGCACCAACATCTCAAATTAGACACTTTAGCAGACCCTGAACAACGCCGGTCTCCTTTGATGCCAAAATCAAAAGCTCACCTGGATAAGGATGAAAGCTTCTGGTCGTCGGGTCAAACGAGTTCAAAATGGAGTTGTCTGGACACAGGAATGAGGCTTTTGCTTGGAGAAAGAAAGAAAGAAAAAAACCTCCTTCCAGAGAACAAAGGTGGTTGGAACACACTGCTTAATCCACAGCCTGTTGTGCTAACAGTTCACTTCAGTACTGCTCTGTCTTCATCAGAGTGGAACGGGACAAAGCTGAATATATATTAACCTAAATCAGGTGTGTGACTGTCATTGGATAATTGGTTGGTTGGATTTTCTATTGGTCGATGAATCCAAGGGTGGGAGTTGCCATAGCTCCTGTGTTCTGACTATGGAGACACCCACCGTTGATTCATCATCCAATAGATTCAAAATCCTGTCCAACCATTTATCCAATGACCAGTATATACCCGGTTTGGCCTGAATATATGCAGCTTCCTCCACCTTGACTCTGATGAAGGCACAGTAGTGTTGAGATGCTAGTTTGTTTGCACATTCTGCTCCAGGCATCTTTTGTGCTCTAGAAATGATCCATTTTTAATTTAAGAAGAACCTGCTTCATCTGCATTATTGCTGGAACATGCTTGGAGTACCTTGTTTCTACTAGAAAGAAGAAGCATTCAACCTAAAGAACATCCTCCCACATGGTTAAACATGGCCGCCATTTTGGAGCGACCCAATCCCTCTAAGAATGTGTGGAAGAACTGAAGACCAGAGGCCACCTTCAATCTCAAAGAAGAGCTGGAGATCATCATAAAGAGGAATTAAATCCTAGTGGAGGCATGTAGAAAGACTGTTGTTAACTTTCAGAACTGTTTGACTGCTGTGGAGGCAAGTAAACGTAAGAAAAGGTAAGAATGATTTTGGACATGGCAGTAAACGTGAAAAATAACTACAGTTAATCATTGACATCTTTATGTTTTAGCACCTTTTCTCACCTGTTTGTGTTGTTTCCAGAAACCGATTGGTCAAACAAAATATCACTAGAAATCCAAAAGGTGCTGCAAGGTGGCGCAGTTGGTAGCACTGTTGCCTCGCAGCAAGTAGGCTGTCGGTTCGCGTCCCGGTGGGGGCACCGGAATCTTTCTGCGTGGAGTTTGCATGTTCTCCCCGTCCAGCGTGGGTTCTCTCCGGGTTCTCTGGCTTCCTCCCACACAGTCCAAAAACATGTTGAGGTTAATTGGTGATTCTAAATTGTCTGTAGGTGTGAATGTGAGTGTGCTTGGTTGTCTGTCTCTAAGTGTAGCCCTGTGATAGACTGGTGACCTGTCCAGGGTGTCCCCTGCCTTCGCCCTAAGTCGACTGGGATAGGCTCCAGCCCCCCCGCGACTCTAGTGAGGATTAAGCGGTGTATAGATAATGGATGGATGGATGGATGTATCCAAAAGGTAGCATGGGTATGGACAATTTTGGTAAGAACACATTTCAAGTACAAACGTCTCTTTGGTTGCATTGTTACTGACAAGCATTTTAATCAGAGCTCATACAGAAAAATATGAACAATTGTAATTATAATAGAAGCATCTTAGCAAAGGGCCTTTTTCACATCACACAGTTTGACTTGTCACTGCAGAAAAAAACAAAAAAGAACCTGTTTTTCTTAATCAAGTGTCCCAGTAAACCATGACAGTGAATCAGCGATCACAACCCCAAGACTTTGAAATTGGCACACCTGAAAGGAATGCAGCCCTTTATAATGTTATCAATAACATCGGTGCTCTTCCTGCTATGACAAGCAAAAGCGTCCGCTGTAAGAAAAGATCTATAACACTCACAATGGCAGCAAGTGTCCCTGTTAATTACTGTGTGCCGGCGAGTACAATACGGGGATCAAGAAACTTTAGCACCTAAATGGAATGCAGCCTTTGTTCGTGTTATCGTTTATGTCTGGCTTTTCTTACTCTGACGTGTAAAATGACGACTAGAATGTGCTCACAGGTCTGTTTCCTGTTTCTCATACATTACTTGATTAATGTGACTGTGTTCCGGTGGAACGTGGATGCCGCTCAGATTTCTGATTATGCGAACATCACGCCTGTGCAGTGGCATCAGGGTGCACGCGAGTGGGACAACACAAGAGTGAATAAAACTTTCAAACAGGTTTTGAAAACACGCTCCTGTGGCAGGGGGTTGTTGATTAGTGGTGCCAAAATCCATGCTAACGCAGCCAGTGAGAATATTTACTTCAAAATTTATAATCTGCTCAGGAGTGCTTAGTTGCATTCCTTCAGAACTGCTTGTGGATGAAAGGTCTTACGGTCTTACATCCAGAGACCACGAAACAGTTCTGAAGGGACATTTTAACTTCAGCATGAAAATTCATCTGCAAATACAATAGAGATGGAATACAAAGAGTCAGGTTTCCCCACAGGGATGTTACACTTTGGCATGAATTAAGCTTAAAGTAAAGCACAAAAACAAAGTCCTAAGAGCAACCACTACGCCAAGCTTAAAAACAGGTCTGTCAAGTGGTTTATTTTCTTATTAGGACACAATAATCAGCTCATAGATGAGTGCACATAAGGACTCGGGGACACTGCAGTCTGGATTGCACTGACTCTAAACACAGAGAGGTGGATTATTCAAGGAGAAAACCAAATAAACGATTCCTTTGTCCAAATTATAGTTAGTTTTCTCCACAAAAAGAAATTCCACCTCTTAGATCTGTCAGGATGTTCAAATCCTTGTGTCTTTTTCCCTGCAGGTGCTGGCTGCTGCAGACAGATTGGTCATTTCCTGGCTGGAAATAGTGGATCCAGTTCCTCAAAGATACCAGTTTTATTGCATAGTCTCGGTCCGTTCTGTCATTCCCTGTTTCAAAGAAATGCCAGGCCAGGTTGTCTTGATCCAGCTCATCTTCTCTCCTTTTTGCTACTCTGTGTTTTATTTAGATCAGGCTGTTTGTTCTTTCTGTTTCAGCTGAGAAAGACAAGAGAAGGGTTCAAACCTGAAGGATCCAAATAGTTGACAGCTGAGCAAGAGGGGTCATATCTAAAATTGCAGTTTCAAACAATGCAATTTGCAGATTGAGAAGGCTGCAGTTTTGGATGTATGCTATGAAGCACGTCTGCGTGAGGGTTCAAAATGCATGTGAATGTGACAGTTGTGCTTTTTATGGTGTCTTTGCAGTCATGTTCCATCACACGTTCTAAATCTATTACACGGTGAAGATTGAAACGAAGCTTGAGTGATCTGTAGTATCTGTCATCGGAACTGCAAATATGCACATCTAACATGCTCCAGAGCAGATTATGTTCAAGATAACAGACGTATAAAAGCAAATTGTCTTGGAGAAGAGCATTACAGTTCCGTGAAGGTGTCATAAAGCTTGGTGCACAAATTGTGAGAGATTCTCTTGGGAAGGCGAGATGTTTCAGAGTCCTCTTCAAGCTTTTTTTTTTTGGTTTTGTTTTTGTCTGACGAGCAGAGATGTGAGAGATTGTCAGTGAGGGATTCCAGTTTTGCTTGCTTTGTCAAACAACAAAAACACATCTGAGGTATGTTAAACGTGCTTCGTGGCACATGCCTAAGGTCTGCTGATGAACACAGAAGCATGCAATATTGAAAAGAGAAGAAAAAAAAAAAACAAACCCAGTGCATGATGTGGATGATTCCTCTCTTGATCAGTCGTGTGCCAAATCTCATCCCACTGTAAGCGGCTACAACAGTGTGTCCCTCTTAAATAGTGATCTCTTTATGCGGTCACCACAGTACGAATTGTTCGGTGAGATAACACAACTTGTGTCCTTGATGAGATTAAGTTCTGTTAACCTTTAAGTTCATCTTGGCTTTGATCTGCAGTCACTCAGGACAGCAGTGATAATAGAAGAGTAAAATCAATAAACTGGCACTGAAATGAGTATCAAAGCAAAGGGAATTAATACTGCTTCATTTGGATTTGTTGTATTTTCTTTTTGCTTATTAATATACTAAAACAGCCATACAAGCACCTGTCCCAATGCTGTTGGTCTACATTTTTTTACTTTTTTCTTCTTCATCTTCTTTTGGGTAAATTCTAAACAATTAATCTTGTTTCTCCTGATCTAATTTGCCTGATATCATATTGTCCTGCTTATCTCAAACACCGTGACTCCTGTCGAAACCACAGGTATCGCTCGGTTTCAGGTGTTCTAAGCCTCGTGCGTAAACACAGCGTTGCATTATGGGCGTCGTAGTTTCTGCCCGCGAGAGGCCACTCCCTCCTCGCAGGGCTCCTGTACTGATTCAAACTTCCAGTCCCGAAATGCTCCGTGGCGCACAGCAAACACAGTAAAAGCGCTGTAACGTGAGGAGGCGAGCCTTTGGAGCGACGCCCTACTAAGAGAAGTTGTAAATGATAGTGGATTGACCTCTTTTGCTGCCAAACGCGCCGGTGAAATTCTACAACCATCTTATGCTGACGGTGAGATGAAACTTTTTTTTGTTTTTGCCTCTTAGATGTTGGTTTTTCACCTCGATTTTCATATTAGGAAGTAGTAGATGTGCTTTATTAATATGTAAATACTCAGTATACACCTGTCCTGACGCGTAACTGACTATTGGATGAAAGTGAAGCCGGAGCTGGGGACTGTATGTTTGAATCTGTGCTGCTCAGTGTTTCTTGCTTTGTTTGGATTATTAATGAATGTAAGACTTGTTTGAGATCATTTAAATCCTAAAAAATTCAGAAAAGCATAAATTTACTATCAGATTTGTTCATTTAGTGTTGATGAGAGGAATCATATTAAAAAGAAATGCAGTACAATGCATAGTAAGTAAACCTATCTTGCAGTATTTTATGAGAATAAACAGTTTTTTACTGTCAGTTGTACAGTGCCACTGCACTTTGATCATAGCAAGAAGTCCTGAGAGAACCGACTACTGTGTCATAGGCTTGACAAGACCAACCTGTTTTTGTGCACTGGTGTAAGAAACCACATTATTAATGACTGACTCACTGTGACAAGTCTTGAATGGGTAGTGTCATTTTACGCAAACAACTGACAGACTGAAGAGTTCAGGCTTTATTCCACAGTTTGGAACAGTTTCTCTTCGCAGACACAAGCAATGCAGAAACCCTGGAGGCCCATTGTGCCTGACAGAAACACATTAGAACAGCCTCTTTACTTGCAGGACTTTTACTGTGGTGTGCAGGTGTCGGCTGTTGTCATCTGTCACAGTAATCCGTGTGTGTTTAGAGATGCAGTTTAGCTCAAAATGGTTTGTTCGCATGACAACTTTTGGTTCTTAAATGAGATCAATAGGTTTCTTTCAGCTGAAAATGACATAAGCAAGTGACAAAAGACAGTAAAATAGATACTGTACAACATAACATAATCTAGTTTTACACTGTAATGACCAAATTTAACGGTTTATGTGTTTTGTTTTGTTTTTTATATTTTTAAAATTGCTGCACTTTTTCTTAGAAAGTGCAGCTTCTATACCCTGCCAAATGGTTTTGGTAATTCCTACCATGTTCTGGCACGTTTTAATACACTATGAACTTGGAACAGCTTCTGCCGTACTTGTTTGATCAGTTACTCATCAACAGCGAGTCATGGCTAAAAACAAAGAGCTTAGTGAGCTTTAGGGTCCATCACTGAAGGAGAGTTGCTATCACAATTGCTAGCAAGGCTAATGGTTTAAGAAGTAAAGTAAGGAATTGAGCTTTTTCTGGAGTAAAAGGCATAGAAAAAGACATTAAAACATTGTTGTTTCTATGTTTGCAGATGAAAATATGGCAGCTGGAAGAACCAGGTCCTTCCGTCGCGTTGGGAGTCTCATGCGGAGTAAATCTGAGGGGACACTAATTGATCTGAGTGATGGCGCCCCAGCTACTGACAACTTGAATGGTAAATGCCTCATTATCAAACCCAAGTAGCCTTGCTTCTGAATCAGAAAACCTGTTGATGATGTTAACAAACATCCTAATCAAACTCGTATTTTTTACAGGTGGGTACATTCCAGGAATTACACAGAACTCAGACTGGCAGCTACTAAACCCAGAAGTCCCACATTCATCTCAAACAAAGAATCCCTTTTGGAACAAACTGTCCACATCAAACCCTTTCTTAGATGACATTGTGCATGGCAGCACCGACAAAAATATTTTTGACACACCGGATGGAAAGCAGGACAATAAAAAACACCAGGACACAAATAACGATGACGCCATCAGCACATCTTCAGACGAAGGAAACGTGGGGGACTTTTTGGAAAACAAAGCGGGCAACAGATCTGGGAGATGGAGGAGTGCTTCAGACATCCTGGAGAACTTGGAGAGAAAGGTGCCAAAACGAGAGAACAGCTTCCAACCACCCGGGCCGGTGCTGAACCCGGATTTTGAGTGGCTAAAGAATGACCGGGAGGCCTATAAGATGGCCTGGCTGAGCCACAGGCAGCTAACCCGCTCATGCCTGGACTTGAATCTGATAAGCCAGAGTCCTGGGTGGGCTCAGACCCAGGCCACGAACTTTCAGGTTATCCACAAGATCGGACACAGTGGAGGGTCACTGCAGTTGCCAGAATCAGAAATTAGCATCCATATCCCAGAGGGACACGTTCCTCCTGGAGAAGTCCAGGAAGTTACACTGAAGGCAATGCTGGACCCTCCTCCTGGACTCAACAACAACTACATGACAACCATGAGCCCACTTGTTGAGGTGGTCCTCAGCAACATCAACACAAAGGAGTGTTTGTCTCTGGAGGTGAAGCTGTCCGGAGAGGTGAAGGATGAACCTCTAAGCCAAGTGATGACCACGGTGTATGGGCTCGTGTCCAACAAAAGAGACGGACCTTACGTCAAAATGAATGACTGTTACATTTACAAGAACACGATGCAGATGAAGCTTCAGGACCTGAAGACACATTTTTATGTGATTGCGGTTGCAGAGGCCTCTGCGTTGCAGCCCCCTGCTACATCAGTATGGGATTACCTTGACCGCCACATCACCATGGCAGTTTATGGCCCCAGGTACATCCATCCATCATTCAAGGTTGTAATAGTTGTCTGCTGTCATGAGGACGTTCCACCAAAGCTGCCGTTTTCAGATATCTGCAGAGGCAACAAAAGCCTACCTCCACTTGTGCTGCAGCTCTGGGGAAAACACAGGTTTAAACCAGACAAACTGAATGACCTGCATGTTGGAGTTGGCATCACAGGCTCGATTTTTAAAATCCAGCCTGAGGACAAACTCAAAGAAGTGAGGCAAAGCCAGCTCAAAATAGGGACAGTTTTGCATCTCCCAGTTGCTTTATCTTGTTCTGGTAATACAGAAATGACTCCTTTTCAATTAGATATAGAGGTGAAGGAATCAAAGGCTTCAGCTGTTGCACATTTCCAGGTGCCTTCCCCTCCTGCAGCACCCATCCGATCAGAAAAGCGAGTGCCGAGGCAGATAGAAAAGAAGATTGAAATGGCGAGAACTATGCCCATTCCTGAGGAAAGTATTCCCGATGTGCCCAAATTCCCAGACAAACCTGTGAACCTGAAGTGGTACGGTGTAGCCCTGAAGTCAGTCCTCCGTCAGCCACGCGTAGAATACCTTCTGGAGTACTTCAAGGGTGACACAGTGGCTCTCCTTTCCAGGGAGACTGTTAGGTCAGTGGGTAACTCAAAGGTAAAGGAGTGGTATATCGGATTCCTCAGAGGAAGGACTGGTTTAATTCACTGCAAAAACATCAAACTCATAACCAGAGAGCAGGTGATTGACTTTACCGGCATTAAGCTCACAGCAGAGGTCCTCTTGGACAACATGACGCTTCCCTTCAACAAGCTCACTTACATGTACTCGGCCATCCAGACTCTGGTCACTGAACACATAAGCAGCTGGAAAAGCTTTGCGAGTGTTTTAGGGTATAGAAGCCTGTCGCCAGACACAATGACTCGGAGGTACGCTGAAACTGAGGCCGATAAGGTGGCCTGCATTCTGGAAAAGCTGAAGGAGGATTGCCACACCGACAAGAGGCGAAGAAAGTTCCTGCATGAGCTCATGGTGGTGAGTTAAAGTGATGGACGTGTACATGACCCCTGCACCAGCACAGAAGAACTGTGTGCTTTTGGTAGTTCTGTTAAGGCTAACTTCTGTTTTATTTTAAAGGGTCTACTGAAGATAGACTCCATGAAACTTGTAGCCCGCCTCATTCAGAACACCGTCATCTTGTCCACTGCTGTGGAACTTGGAGTCCGATGGCGAGAGCTTGCTGAGAAGATGGGAAAGCTCTCCAGTGCTCAGATAGCCAGCTATGAGGCGCCTCATCGAGGAAGGAACGGCGAAGTCGGCCCCCAGGTCAGTATAACAGCAGGTTATACTTCGGCAGAGCAGGTATTGATGGAGTTTCTCCTGATACATGGACATTTCTTATATATTTGATTAGAAATCTGATCAATAGGTATGTGTTATCTGTTTCAGTCGATGTGGAAGCCAGCCTATGACTTCCTCTACTCCTGGAGTCTGCGTTATGGAGACAGTTACAGGGACATGATCCAGGATCTGCACTTGATCCTGGACAAAATGAAAAATCCGGCCACCAGACAGTGGAGGCACCTGACCGGTGCGCTCATCACAGTGAACTGCCTTGATATCTTTCAAGCTTCTGCTCACCCAAAACCTTAAACCCTCTGCAAATGGACTTCAGTGATTAACCCCCTGAACCCCAAACTGGTTTTAAATGCATGTTGTCTTTTTAAAAAATCACCAAAATGACACCATGTATAAGAGCCAGAAACCGGAAAAACAAATAGTCATCAGATTTTAAACCCTCTGATGGTCCTTGAACTACTTATCATATTAGTACCATCTGGGGTGCACTTGGATGAGTATTGTACATTTTTAATTCAAGGTAAATTTTTTTGTAAAACTAAGAATCAATTAACTTCAAGCCCACGGAGAGTTAAAATGTGACAAAAAAAAAAAAACCCCACCCCAAAACAGTTTGGGGTTCAGAGGGGTTAAAAACAGCCTTTCTGTTTTCGGGGGAAGCAGAGCTGTGATTTTGGTTACAACAATAAGGTCTAAATGAACATGCTACCTACCTTTCTTTGCTGTCTATTGTACACAAGCATTAGAAGCTGAGATTCAATCAGTTGCGTGCACTATATGTTCTCACAGATAGTGAGGTGTGAAGGAAAGCTAAGTCTTTGTCTCTGTGCAAATGTGATGTTGCCTTAAAGTCCGTTTTCAGTTTGGTAGATCATTTTCAGTGTTTGTGAGGTCAGTAATACTGGAGGGGACATCAGCGGTCCTGTAGCGCTGCAACGATTAATCGAGTAACTACCATTAAGCAGCAACTATTTTTATAACTGATAAATCCGTTTGATGAACTTTTATGGAAAAAAAAAAACATTTAAATTGTGGCTTCTTAAATGTGAATATTTTGTGGTGTATTTCCTTCTCTATGACAGTTTTTGGGTTGTGGACACAGCAAGACATTTGTCATTTTGGGTTTCTTTGTTTTCAGACATTTTACGGACCAAGAAAATAATCGACAGATTATTTAACAGTGAAGCTAATATTAGTTGCAGTCCCACCATCCTGCATCAAAACAGTCTAATGTATAGTCACGATGTTTTTACCTTTTTTCACAGAAAGCCAATATTACACAGCTCAGACTCTGTATTTTTTTGTATCATACTTCCCATAGATCTGCAATCCTTTAAAAGAGCAGGCTTCTACACAATGGGTTTATTTGTCTAATTCATCATTTCAAATAGTTCATTTAACAAAAAAAAAAAAAAAAGCATTTTTTAGGTTCCTGTGAACACTTACTGGGTGTCAGTGGTTCTTTTTTAGAAACAGTTCTCCGTAACATTAACTGTCAGTAGCTGAATGAACAGTCAGAGGACTGATTAATGTGAACAGTGTGGTTGAAAATCTCAAGGGTTACAGTGCTGACAGTCCATTAATCTTTATTATTTGTTGAGGTCTGAAAGTGAAGATGTTCTACCAAAGTGAAAGTTCCCTGATGCGAGTAAACAAACAAGAAAGAAGTTATTATGCAGCACATGTGTCATAAATTGTTATTTTCTGAAATATTAGTGCTATTTTTATACTGTAATGTCATGTCGTAGAGTCGCACAAAGCAGATAATTTAATAATAAAGCAAACAATGTAATCATTATATATTCATTGTGTTATGTTGTCAAATGGAAACCTCAGTGTTTCGAGTGGTGCCGTCAGTCACTGAAACCTCAGACGACTGATATGTTGTAAATGCGTTGCAGAAGATATGAATAAATATAAACTGTGACACTGTTTTGATGAATCTGTCTTTAAATATGTGCAAATTCCAGTCATGCAGTAGCACGCTGCTAACTGCACTCACTGCATCAGCCTTTTTGACAAGTTTTTGCATTTTTCAGTGTCGTAAACTGAAATCGCACCATCAAAACAAACGGCTTTTCCCATTGATTTCCTCCGACTGTTTGCTTTTCCCTGCACTGTTTGTTTAAGCGAGTTTCAGCTGAGAGCTTTGTGTGCTATTTCTCTATCAAACAGAGAGCACGGACTGCTGAGCGGACTTTAGTTTGGCTCGCTGAAAGCACCGCGGGAAAAGTAAATCAAAAAGAGAAAATGGTATCAGGCGACAGAGTGAACTGATTCAATCTTCAAGCTACTTTACTTTTGAGTTTTTTGTAAAGGCTGATAAAACAGAAGATAACGTACTATTGTAGAAGTTAGAGGGGCAGATAATCAATGTGGCATGAAACACGGAATACATGGTGACTAACAATCCTTTAATAGATGAATAATGTTTGACTTTTCTCGCACATCATGTCGGGACTTTATTTCAAAAACACATTTTGAGGAAACCTATATAAAAGTAGCCTTTGAAAGCCAGACACTACATGCAGAAACACTGTTTTTGCCTCATATTTGTCTAAAATAAACTTTAGGTGTTCATTTTACTGCACTTCTTTTTCTTTGCATCAGTACATTTCAAACATAACACACATCTTAAAATGTGGTTCCCTCAAAATGATGCTTTTCTCATATTCTAAGAGATCTCAACTGCACTTTAGATGTACCAATTCCCCAAATGGTTCAGTTTTATCTCTGTTCTGGAAGTTTTTACAGTAGAATTTGCTTACATATTATTTCAAGCCTGATTTATCCATCCATTATCTATACACCGCTTAATCCTCATTAGGGTCGCGGGGGGGTTGGAGCCTATCCCAGCCGACTTAGGGCGAAGCGAAGCCTGATTTATATGTGATTTTATTTCTAAAAAAATTAACAGTAATTGACTTTTTTCTGCCTCTGACATGTTAAAAAAACTAAAACACTAATGTTGAATGTGGCTGTGTCCAATGTGCAGATGCACAGTGCATATTTAATTACATGATGCCTATTTTTTTTATATGTAAACATGTGTTTTTTATATTTGTAATACACAAAAATAAATGTCTTAAGGCAAAAATGTCTGCAGGGGGAAGTCTGATGGGGATGTCTGTTGGTTAAAATGTTGACCCCTTCGTCTGTCGTGTCTCCAGAAAAATCAGGAAACTGCATGTCATAGTGTCGTGCTATATGTTGGTAGTTTTTTGATCCTTCTTTAAATAAATAAACTAAATCCTGCTGCAGCATCAGGTTGTTGTTCAACATATGAAGAACAGCCAGATACCAAATCCCACAAATGAAGAGACAAATGAAGTCCAAAATACAACTTTAATTCATCGACCCCAGAGACAATTTACAGTAATACACTTTAAGTCTTAAGCATTCAGAAGCACATTTTAAATTTACTGGATTTGAGAGCAGAACACTGAAATCCCTCTGGTTTTCCGAGAGAGCTGCTACGCGCTCGCTCCATCCTTCATTCGGAAACAGGACAAAGGTTCACTGTTTTAACGATATTGACTGCGGATTAGATCAGAGAGGAAGGATTCTCGGTCAGATTATCCACCTGAATGTGTGGTTTAAACACATCATTCATCATAGATGAGCCATAAAATGAGATAAAGCTGAACATTCATGATAAAATATCAATTCTAATCGAGTGTTCTATTGCTGTAATCACACTAGATAGAGACTGTGTTCAGGACACAGAATCACACATTGTTTTTATGGTTTATCGACGGAGACTATGTGGATATTTAGTGTTCTTTTTGTTTTGGGCATGGAATTTTTTAGCCAAATAGTAAAAGTGTAGTTAAATTTACTCTCTAACTCAATGTTTTGTCGCCTGTAAATGTCACTTTTAGCAGAATAACAAAATATCAGTCAAAGAAAATTCACTTTAAATCAAAATTTTGTACAGGAATGAATATTTTAGGGCTGAACTGTAAATGCTTGCAACAATTACAAATGAGTATTGCATGTTCAAGTCCATCATACATGGGGAAAAATGTACTTATCAGTTTCTGCTGATAGTATGACCATGACACGAGGGAAACAAATAAAAAACCATCCGAGTCGTTTAAAAACGGCCTTTCTCAGTCCCCTCTTTTCAGAAGCAGTGAGGCGTCAAACTTTGCGACTAATGAAATGTGACCACTTTTGTTTTGTGAGCCTTTTATAGCAGCAGTGTGAGAGCGTAGCTAACAGTTAATTATTGTGAATATTGCTGCCTGTTAGAGTCTTTGCATGTTTACAGCCTGACTAAAGCGTTTCTCATCTGAACTTTGGACAGACTGTTCTGAGTGAAACTGTACGATCCGAGCAGAGAACTACAGCGGAGACATTGCAGTTCTTCAGAAACGCAGCTGCTGTGTTTCACTATGAAGTCAAAGCCTTCGTGAGTCACTGATGTTCCTCATCAGATATCAACACATTAGGTAGTCACTGACACTCACGAGTCACTGTTTCTAAGTCAGGGAATTTTTAACAGTTTTAAATGTTCGGCACCTTCTGCTGTTCTGCAGATCAAACATTTAAAAAAATGTTCCAAGACTTCTACATCCCTCAAACTTTCAGCAGTGCATCACGAGGGAGGTTCGCTCTGCTATGTATAGAAATAGGTCATGTTTGTCCAGCATATTATGTTTCCTGGTTCTTTATTCGAGCCAAAAAAAAAAAAAGACAACTACAGATTGCATTTCAAGAAGCGTCCCACACAGATCCTGCTCATCATTAGGACGATGGACAGGGTGAGACCCCACAAACAAAGCTCACCTCAGCTGCTCCGTCTGCTCTGCTGATCTGGGTGGGATTAAGGAGAGCTTGGCACAATATTTTTTCTACGTCTTATCCAAGCTAACTGCCAAGAAAAAACTTCTAATGATGCATTGCTTAGCTGTACATTACAGTTATGCTTTCTGCTCTACCCTTCCTATGCTTTCCTCATAATGCCACAGAAATGACCTAGCCAGTTACTTTAGCTACAAATGACCCCTGTGGTTAACTGGCAACCTATCCAGGATTTAGTCCTTCACTTTTATCCATTGTCAGCTGTGAGTCCAGAGGTGGAGCCAAGTGGTGACCACCAATAACTAAACTCTGGACGTCCCACCCAAACAATAGTGAAGCCCGTCAGAAGGCTGCGCACAAAGAGCTGCAGTTAAATCCAGCAGCTACTATTTTTCGTAGCGTTTTTGCAGAACCCTTTCTCT